AATAACTCTCTAGGAATTAATGTTACTCATAGTATTTATTTTATGTGCTTTACTGATACTGTATATTCTTTTATTTGTGTGGTCATTTAAAAGAACCTGAAAACTGAGTATATAACTATACATTTTTTAAAAAACATGTTTTAATTCTTTTCAAATCTATATATTATGATAGTATTAAGTGCTAGTAAGCAATTAATTGCCCTTTTTGTTTATTATACTAATCAGTAAATAGCCCTGTCATGTCTTTAAACAGCTGTCATGTTTATAAATATATCAATAAATAACCCTGTCTGATCTCTATTTCTTAATTTGGACAGAATCACTGCCCAAATCCCTTACCTATCCCATTATAGTTATAGTTTCTTAATGAGGATTATTCCAATAAATAATCAAAATTTTATCCAACACTTAGTATGGGCCAGAGCTTTGAAAGATATTTTGGAGACTATGGAAGAAATAGAAAAGAGGGTCCCACATCTCTAAAAGCTTCAAACCTAAAGGGAAAGACTGCATTTCTGAAACAACCAAAGAAAAATATAAGCAGGATACAACTGAGTAATACATTGTATGAGACTGAAATATTAAGACTAGAGAGGCCAATGTAGGCCGATATGGTTTGGCTGTGTCTCCATCCAAATCTCATCTTGAATGGTAACTCCCACAGTTCCCACGTGTCATGGGAGGAACCTGGTGGGAGGTGATTGAATTACAGGGGCAGGTCTTTCCTGCATTGTTCTTGTGGTAGTGAATGAGTTTCACAAAAGCTGATGGTTTTAAAAATAGGAGTGGCTGGGCACACTGGCCCACGCCTGTAATCTCAGCACTTTGGGAGGCCAAGGTGGGCAGATGACCAGGTCAGGAGTTCGAGACCAGCCTGACCAACATGGTGAAACCCCATCTCTACTAAAAATACAAAAATTAGCTAGGTGTGGTGATCCACCCCTGTAATGCCAGCTATTCAGGAGGCTGAGGCAGGAGAATCACTTGAACCCAGGAGGCAGAGGTTGCAGTGAGCCGAGATCGTGCCACTGCACTCTAGCCTAGGCAACAGAGTGAAACGCTGTCTCAAAAAACCCAAAAAGCAGAAGTTTCCCTGCGTAAGCTCTGTTTTTGCGTGCTGTCATCCATGTAAGACGTAACTTGCTCCTCCTTGCTTTCCACCATGATTTTTGAGGTCCCCCCAGCCTCACTCATGTAAGTGCATGTGGAACTATAAGTACATTAAACCTCTTTTTCTTCCCAGTCTCAGGTGTGTCTTTATCAGCAATGTTTAGAAAACCGACTAATACATAGGCTAACTTAGTTAAAAAGAACTTGGCCTGGGCTTGAGGTGATGATAAGTGATTTAATCTTGGACTTGAAGAGTTGACAGAAAGATATCCAGAAAAAGCAAACCCCTGGCTAAAGAAAATGTATAAGTTTTCTGAAATTGATAATTTTTAATGCGGATTAAATTTAAAAAGCTAAAGTATTTATTCCATCACTTAGAATGATAAACATTAAGAGTCAACTAGTGAAACTTACTATGATCATACACACACACACACACACACACACATATATATATATATATATTTTTTTTTTTTTTTGAGATAGAGTCTCATGCTGTCGCCAGGCTGGAGTGCAGTGACGCGATCTCGGCTCACTGCAACCTCTGCCTCCTGGCTTCAAGCAATTCTCTTTCCTCAGCCTCCTGAGTAGCTGGGACTACAGACGCACGCCGCCACACCTAGCTAATTTTTTTTATATTTTAGTAGAGACAGGGTTTCACGGTGTTGCCCAGGCTGGTCTCGAACTCTTAAGCTCAGGCAAAAATCCACCCACCTTGGCCTCCCAAAGTGCTAGGATTACAAGCTTGAGCCACCACACCTGGCCGATTATCAATATTTTAAAAGTCAATTGACCTTCTTTACATAGAGAAATGCAGACATAGCTTAAACTCTTAGATTATAGATTGAGGTTCTTAACACAGATCTGTGTACTCTGAATTATTAATAAAATTGAGAACTAACTACAAAAAAACTCTTAATTTCTAACAGAAGAGACATGCTCTCAAAATGTCTTTAATATATGCTTTCTGACTCTGCCGTACCATTTGAAGTCATGGTTTTATACTGCAGATTATTTTGAAGTGACAGAATAATAACTAAAGAATAGCGGTGACAGTAACCTTATATGTCAAACTAGAAACTGGAGTGAAAAATTTAAAAATTGACACAACAGTATAATATAGCTTTTGTGCTAATTTGCTGGCGTTAAAATGATACTTAAATTGCTGCTTTTCTTTTGTTGTGGGACAGAATAAAGGTGGACTGGATGTAGAGGTAGAACACATAAATATTTTATACTTCTCAACTCATTAAGCCTGATATGAGGCCCTTTTTGAAGTCCAGTGCATCTAGGCGTGTGGCCCCTTGCATCTGTAATAATGTGCACAGGCTAGAACAGCAACAGTGAAGGTGAAAGAGTGCTTCCTGCTCCTGGCTATGAACCATGTGTATATAAGCCAAATGCTCATACTTTTGAGAATTTAAAAAAATTAATCTGAGTATTTCAAGTAAAATCTTTTTCTTTCATTAAATTTCTAGATACTTTTAGTTTATTTTTATTGTGTAGAATAACAGATGTCCTTATCTATTGAAGGACTAGAAACTGGTGACAATAATTAGAAATTAGATATAATAAAAATAGTTGTGTACTTTTAAGAAGAAATGACATTTCATGTTTATTTTACACTAAGTAGCTGCAAAAAGATCTAAGAGGGTTTTGGAAGTTTTCATCAGTATATTTGAGTGATATTTTGAAAGAAGTTGTTATTAGTGATTTAAAATTAGTCCTTTCTTTGTCATCTGAGATAGAAGTGTAGAGGGCTGGACTTGTGTTTATCCCTTCATTTGTATTTTACTGATTATTTTATTTCAGGATCAAAGTGTGGGATGAATTCTTTGTCCTTTTGGCATTTTGAAACTTTTCAAGTGTTAAAAAAACTTTTTCTTTCTAAAAATGTCCACTTCTCTCCAACCTACCTGAAAATTGTTAAAATGAAAGAATACAAAACCACTTTGTGGGTTTGTGTTTTGCTAGCGTAACCTATTGTCTAAAATAAAGTAAGCTTATTTTTTTTTCTCCTGCTTTGTATCAACTCAAAACATTAATATTCTGTAGGTGACATTTTTTCCTTTGTTGTTGTTGTTATTGTTGTTTTTGAGACTGAGTCTTGATGTGTCGCCCGGGCTAGAGTTCAGCGGCATGATCTCGGTTCAAGTGATACTCATATCTCAGCCTCCTGAGTAGCTGGGCTTATAGGCGTGCACCACCATGCCTGGCTAATTTTTGGATTTTTAGTAGAGAAGGGTTTTCGCCATGTTGGCCAGGCGGGTTTCAAACTCCTGATCTGAGGTGATCCACCCACCTTGGCCTCCTAAAGTGTTGGGATTACAGGCATGAGCTATTACAGCTGGCCAGGTGACATATTTCTTTAACTTTGTGTGTATATTTACACTCAGAGAAGCTTCAAAAGGTAACTGTTCAAATTTACTTTCAATTTATTTATTGTTTATATAGGTAAAACTTTCTTATTTAAGCTTATGTGCCTGTTAAATGAACGATATTTCATTGCATGAGAAAACTGCAACTGCTTTATCAAACTGTACGAATGCAGTTTCACAGTGGATGTCTACTTTAGTGAAGTCTGCTTTTGTTTGTAAATTGTCTAATAAAGATTTGTCTCAGAATCCTCAACCATCTTAAATATTTCTTAACCTGTGTGTAACATATTTATAGAAATATTCTGTTAAAAGCAATACCTTTCGGAAATCTTCTTATCAGATAAATGCATAATAGAAATTTGCGATCTTGGAGGCAAAAAACAAAAACCCAAAACAAAACAAAAATTCTCATTTTACTCTTCTTCTACAGACTCAGTACTACTAGCATCTTTCTTTGGAATTATGTGTAGGTTCTGAACCTAATTCTTCCCCTACTTTTTGTCTAGTTGGGATACTCTCTTACCAAGAAGCAGCACAACAGCATAGCATAGTAGAATCTTGACTTTACCCTTTCAATAGCTTGCATAACTACTCTGAATCTGAGTTTACTGGTATATAATATGGATATGATAATAGTTCTTTTACGGTGAAGATGTATCCTAGTTTATATTTTTGCTACGCTTGAGCTATATTTCAACCAAAAGATATGGTAACTGCATAGTAATCATCATCATAATTTGTTATCTGTTATAATAATTTTAATTTTCAGGATAATTATAATCATTATTACTAATCATTGTGCTTCAGCATCCTTATCAGCCAAATGGGGAATACCTGTGTTCCCTTCAGAATTCCATAAGTGTAACTAAAACTATTAGAGTATTTTATTTTAAAGTGTACCCTAGTAGAGGAATTAAGGTATTTTTAAGATTCTTACCTTTATGCAGAAGTACTAAAGCTTGACACTTAACTTTATTATTGGCAATTTATGGTAATACATTATTGTCTTTAGATAAAAGAGTTAATTATTATGTAGCTACTGGTTTCCTAAAACTCTACCTTTCTCTTAGCTATAACAAAATTTTGAGCTTTCTTCAATAAAAGTTCAGTTATTCCATTTTAGCATTTGTGTGAATAGAAATTAGAGTTTAAAATTCTCATATATAATTCCTTTTCTTATTCTGAGCAGAAAGACTTAAAATTAGGCTTTAGCAAACAGATGGTAGTATGCTTATACAGTATTTATGTTGCTTTCTTTTCTGCTAGGAGATGGGAGAGTGACTTACCACTTACAAAAATTAGTCCTGGGCTATATGTTGATTTATATGATAAAGTAAGAAACTTTAGGTTGTAGCCCAGTTTTTTTGCTCACTGTTTGTATATCTGGTAAATGCATTGTATTTAAATCTTTCTTACACTTTTTTCTTCTCAGAAGAAATTGTGTATGCTTAAAACGATGCTGTTCAATCTTGATATTTTCCTCAAATTAAATATGTTTTTGTTTTATTTTAGTTCAGACTTGGTTCCTTCAACCTAGAGAAAGTTGAAAACCCAGCTGAAGTCATTAGAGAACTTATTTGTTATTGCTTGGACACCATCGCAGAAAATGAAGCCAAAAATGAGCACCTGCAGAAAGAAAATGAAAGGCTTCTGAGAGATTGGAATGATGTTCAAGGACGGTGTGTACACAGTTTGCTTGTGGTATAAAAATACGGAGCCCTTGTCATATTGTTATAGCTTTAAGTTAATGATTTGTAAATTTCCAACATATGTAGATTAGCATATATTTCATACAAAATTTGTCATTAAGTTTAGCTTAACTGAATATGATTAAACAAAATTATTAGTCAATATTGTATATTATAGAAGTACATTAACACTTTTATGTCATTAGTATGTGGTGGCACCAGCAAACTTATAAACAATAAGGAGCAATTGGGCATTGAAGATCAATACCCATTAATACTAATAAATAACTTAGGTAGTAACTATTTATAAAGAGTAATTCAGCTCAAATTATAGGATTAATAATGAATTAAAAAGAGACATGAAATAAAATAAACATAATTGATTTCTTATTTGGAATCAGTGAGTGGCACCTATTTCAAATGATAGTGTTTTGGCTCCCAATAGAGACTTATTTCTCCTGATTTATTGAAAATTCATACTATAAGCATTTTTAAAGGATGAACTGATTGTGGCTACTGGACAAGACATTTGGAAGCCTTTTATTTTTCTGGCTTTGCCTCTTTTTAAACGAGGAAGAAAAAAATAATTTTTTTTAAAATTATGAACTTTCTCAACTAAATGTAATCTAGGCCGGCCCAATGTGTAACCTTTATTATTCTATTCTGTATAAGATGTTTGAAGGAAATAAAATGCATGTTATGAACATTTATATCCTCACTGAGTCATATATAATGTATATGTGTGTGTATGCGCACATATAGTGTGTATATATGTATGTGTATGCACACACATATATATAGTGAGAAAGAAAATGATGTCTGAAATCATTATGTGGAATATATATATAATAATGATAATAATTATTAGTACATCCAGTAGATTTTTTAAATCTTTTGCTTAAATAACGCTACAGCATGGGAACAGTTATCCAACATATTTAGAGTATTTTTAGTGCAACCATTGTGATTACTCTATATGGACATTAGTGAGTATATGTGGAAGTATATGAAAAATGGTGAAGGTTTTACCACTGTCAATATATGTATGTGAAAATGAGGCTGACTAAAAGCGATTATTTTTCTGTACATTCAATTATATTTATTAACTAATGCAAAACATGTAAAATTAAGTTCCTAGTACCTATGTTATTTGACTTTCATGTATTGTATTAGGAAAGTGGTTTTGTTCTATCTTAGATCTAAATTAATTTCTATCTCCAATTATTTATATATATTATATGTAAATAATACAAAAATGAGACCAAATCCAAACTGTGTATTAGGAAACCATGCAGAAAAAGTTAATTTTTCTCTTTACTGCTTATTCATGAATAAAGATGAATTCTATGTCATGGTATGAATAAGTATCAGGTATCTGTACTACAAAGCATTTCTTGGACCTATATCTGTAGCTTGGGTGTATTTTCTATTTAATATGTGAAATAAATCAAATTAAAGGAGATGAGCTCTGGTCGTGATAAACCATTATATTTAAAACTCAGAATACCCTCAGGATGATAGGAAATTTGATCCACAAATTGCCTACAAAAATGCAGACTGGGTACTTGGTACTTGAACAAATTGCCTTAAAATGTCTGCCAGAGGTTGAAAGAGGTATTATCTCATCAGTATTCAACACCACTCCCATAGAATTGAAAGCAGCAGGGAACGAAGATGAGGAATTAGAGACGAATGCACCCTGTGCTGTAACAGTGTGTGCGCGGGGCACCTATTATATGTGGCTCACAGATGCTTGATTTGCTATTTCTGGACTATCCAGCAAGTGCTTTTGTCTTGTTGTGGCAAGAGATTTCCTGTTTGATCAAAAGCACAGCCATGTACCCTGTCACCTGCCTTATTATGATCCAGCTATTTTTTTTTGATAATACTGTGTCAGATGTCTTCTTCAGGGTCTATAGATGTGTGCCTTTGGGGTGGCCCTATGTACTGAGAAGAAAGAGTCCACTCCAGAGGATTCTAGTCTCTTTATTGTATTCCAGATCTTAGATTAGTAGCTTTAAATATTTCTCAAATTTGGTTTTCTCTCCTTTCAGAGGACAGAGACCACTTTAAGGAGCTGCAAATACATCTTGATCATGGCCAAGCAGCAGTTTCTTAGTGTTCCCTCACTAGAGCCTTTGCATGCTGGAAAGGATTTACAGCTTTAGCTTCCATAAGGCAGTAGTTCTAATTAAGTGTCTTTAGGGAGATTAGAAATAGGACATGAGCATATGGAGTTAGGTAACTGGGGACATAGAAAGTAGAGAATCATTAGCGTTGGGGCCATGTTAAGCTTGGCAATAGTTTTGGGGGAAGCCTCTGATTATTCTTGTGTCAGTGTCCATGATCCAAGCATTTCTTCTATACTACATATGAAGGGATGGGAGGGTGGTGTTAAAATAGTGGGGAAGGACACAATGTAAGGGATGGGAATTCCCGTAGAAGCGAAGGTAGATGGGTCTGAGATACATTTACTACACAATAAGATATTATATGAGCATAAAATAGTTGTGTACACGTGTTTATTAATGTGGAAAATGTTGATCATATATTAAGGTAAGACGTGCATCACCACAAATATAAACAATATCCCATTGTTTGCAAAAATATATTTAAATAGAGAGTATCTGGAAGAAGAAAATTAAATGTTAATAGTGTACATCTGGAATTGTAGACTACATTTTCCTTTAATTTTGGGGAGTATTTTTTGTATATGTTTTAGTATTTAAATATGTATCACCATTATAATCAGAAACAACTATAAAGCTATTTTCATTTGGGATGATGGTGGAGAATAAACAAGGCTTGAGTGAGGAATGAGAAATTACAGCATAAGTAAAAAGTGTGAGCTTTAATGCATAGAATTTTAACATATATATTTGCTGTTATTTTAAATTATCACTTAATAATTGTGTTCTTGGCTCCATTTTGAACAAGTGGCATCGCTGCATTAATTTTGTATAGTTGAGATAAAGGAGGAAACATTTAAGATGTGTATATAAATCCTTAGGTTACTGGCTATATTTATTTAGTGGGTTTTCTACTTAATTACTAATAACGACTCTCAAGTTCCATGTTACTGAATAGATGTTTTGTTTGCACTCAGAACTCTGCTTAGAAATTATCTGCCTTTATTCTGAGTTATAGTTATTAAACCCATAATTGGAGGCAGTTTTCAGTGAATTGGGTTGACACTCACAGAATCATCAGAATAAAAGACCTTGAAAGCTCTTCTACTTCATCTCTCTGCCTTCAAGATAGAATCACATTATATCCAGATGAATTCAGTCTGATTTTTAAAGACCTAGAGAGATATCTTCATCTCCCCTTGGTAGCCCGTTACAATGTTTAAGAACTGTCACAGTCAGAAAATTCTTTCTTCCATCTATGGGTAATCTGAATCCTTCACGGTATAGTTGAAGGCCATTTCCTCTTGTTCTCTTGTCAGAAAGGATGAGAAACAGCTGTTCACCATCTTCTTCCGTAAAGGCATATTAAATCTCTTTACCACTGCTTGCTTTTCCAGTTCTTTTTAGCTTTCTTTGTCCTCCCAATTCTCCTCAGACTTTCTATTGCCGTACAACCCTGACCTGGGCCAGATACAATTTTGGCCAGAACTGATTATTAATTTAAGGGTTACTGCACTGTGTCTAAGTACCATATTTCACGTTTATGTACCTATTATTTTATTTTGAGCTATCATTTAATCTATTGTTTCATTTTTGGTGTTATTTCTGCATGAAATTGTTGTGTTTTTCCTCCTAGTTTGTTATTGTTTTGAAATGTTATTCTTATATTGTTTTCCCACCCAGAGATATTTTATTTTGAATATTCAGTATTTTTGTGTATTTTTTTTGTCCTTTTAATTTTTTTAAAAAATTACTATTTATTTTTTTTTTTCTGTCCGAGGTTTTAGGTACCTCAGTGCTAGGTTACTAATTAAATTTAGCATTATTGTTCTATTTTCCTAGTTATTGTAGAAAGGATGAATTATCATTAGACCTTTCTTGTTTGGTGTTATTTATGATTTTGTTCCAATTTGAGATTTGCCTGGATGTGATCCTTGAACTAGTGTGGTCTGATCTAGTTGTGCATGGGCTTTTTGTTAGTGTCACCAGACTTAGCAGTGAATCCCATGTCTCTTCTCCACTAAATGTTCTCACCTAATAATTCCTGTCTAATTCTTGAGGGATAAGCTTGACAGGAAGCATGTAATGGAAGGCATAGTAACATCATAATGCTCTAGGAGAGGATTGGCATTAAAAATTAGATGGGAATGATACTACATACCTCTTAGTTACTGATTAATGGATAAAAGGATAGCATTCTCTGAGTCTTGAAAAATTAAGAATTAAGAGTAAATTCATGTCATGCAACTGTTCACACAAATACTTTTTCTCCAGTTAGCTCCTACTCCCCCACTTTTCTAGGAAGTGTTGTCCAGTTTGATCATCAGAAGTTTGGTTGCAAAAAAATCCTAAAACTTTGCTGAAACCAAGCAAGGTTAACTCATATGATAACATTCATTCTATTTACTTTGTTTCCCTGTCACAGAAATGTTTCCTTTGACAGCATAGTTCTGATACTGGTTACTTAAGATGAACAATATTCTTTAGGAATATTATATGATATTTCATTTTTATATTTATTTTCACTTTGAATGTGTCACACCAAATGTTAATTTTAATAAAGGTTTGGGAATTAGCTTGTTAATTGTTAATAACGTACACAATCTTTCAATAAAGAATTATCGAAGTGACTTATATGGAAATTAAATATGGACTTAAGCCAGATAAATTACTAATTGGCTACCATTCCTAAAATTTAATATAAGAAATTGTAATAAATTTGTTTATGTTTTCACATGTTGGTTTTTACTTTGCATATGTTTGAAGTATGTTATTATATACTCAGGTATTTCAGTAATACATATGTTTTAAAGTTTTTTATTTTTTTTTGAAAATATTATAGGAAGATGAGAATATCGTGCTTACATAACACTGAATCTGAAATATAAATGTAGTGACATATCTTTGCTTAAAATAAACTCTCAATATTGCTAGCTCCTTTTCAATATTCAATTTTTTTCTAACATCTTTTCATATACTTCTGTCTCAGAGAACTTTGCTGAATGAAGGGAATACTGCTAGATTGATACTATTTGACGCAGTTTTTTAAAAAGCTGAAGATGAAAAATATTACTTTTACAATGGTGAATAGCTATTAAATCAGTGAAAAAAATGCAATATTCAGAATCACTGTTTTTCTGTTTCCTTATAAGATGTCAATATTAGCCATTCTTCTTGGCTCTTCTCCTTTGCTGGAGGGCTATAGTCAGACATGGTGCCCAGCAGGAATGGCATAATCCTGAAGCTCCACTTTTATAAGAACTGGCAGTGGCCCATAGCGACATGGTTCACCCAGCCTGCAAGGAAGAGCCACAGACATGAGACCAGAGAAGTCAAAGCCCACTGCATTGCCCGGTGCCTTGTATCTGGACCCATTGGCCCCTAGTAAAATGTCCCACATCAGGTTTCACACCAAGTACAAGCTGGCAGGGGCTTCAGCTTGGAAGAATTAAGGGTGGCCAGCATCCACAAGAAGATGGCCTGGACCATTGATTTCTCTATTGATCCAAGAAGGTGAAACAAGTCCATTGAGTCCTTGCAGGCCAATGTATAACAGCTTTAGGAGTACTGCTGGAAGCTTATCCTCCTTCTCTAGGAACCTCGGCCTTCAAGAAGGGAGACGGCTACACTGAAGAACTCAAATTGGCCATCACACTGACAGGACCAGTAATGTTCATATGGAATACCTATAAGAAGGAGAAAGCCAGAGTCATCACCAAGAGGAAGAGAACTTCAAGACTGCCACATCAGACTGGGCGCAGTGGCTCATGCCTGTAATCCCAGAACTTTGGGAGGCTGAGGCGGGCGAATCACAAGTTCAGGAGTTCGAGACCAGTCTGACCAACATGGTGAAACCCTGTCTCTACTAAAAATACAAAAATTTGCCGGGCATGGTGGCGGGCGCCTGTCATCCCAGCTACTCAGGAGGCTGAGGCAGGCGAATTGCTTAAAACCAGAAGGCGGAGGTTGCAGTGAGCCGAGATCGTGCCACTGCACTCCAGCCTGGGCAACAAGAGTGAAACTCTGTCTCAAAACAAAACACAAAACAAAACAAAAACCTGCCATATCAATGCTTGGCTCTTTGGCCTCTGGGCAAAAAGGACCAAGGAAGCTGCAGAACAGGATGTTGAAAAGAAAAAATAAAGCACTGTTGAGGCCTTGTAATAAATCAGCAGTAAACCTGGGAAAACAAATAAACCAAAAAGATGTCCATATTAATTTACTCACTTCATTCGTTTGTCTAATAAGAACCTACCAAACATCTGTAGAATGCTAAACACTATGCTGGGCACTGAGGATACTGTGGCCAGTAAAACACACATGCTCTCTGCTTTCCTGGAGTTCACATCCTTGGCAAAGACTATGCTATAAGAATTTGCTGAAATTGGTCCCAGAGAATATATTGCCATATTTTCCTTTTTATCCTATGAGAGGTTTGAATTCTTTGCATCTCTAGATAGGTAGATTGTTGAAAGTTTAAGGGCGTGTATATAAAAGGTATCTAATTTGGACATTTGTGTTTCTAATTTCACTGAAATATATATGTGTGTGTCTGTATATGTACACACATATATGTTACTACTGGTATATATGTGTGTGTGTGTTTATGTACAGCATAAAAATACTAGGATACTTGTATATCGAACAACAACAATGTAAATAAGCAGTATAAAACGACATTGAAAAGAATACATAAAATAATTTGTATTTGAATCTCTAAAATAAGAATGTATTCATCATGTATGCGTGTGCACATTTTAAGTATATACAAGCTCAGCTATTTTGCTTTCTTTACTTTATATCTCTCTTGGGAGCTTAAAATAAATACAATCCCCTGTTAGCTCATTGAGCAGTGTAGGACGAATTATAAACAATAGAGAATTTTATGTTTTGTCTCAGGTATCTAAATTTGAAGATACGTAGTGTTTTACATTTGCTGTTTTATTAATCTCTCCTTGGATATATCAAGTAGAATACTTTCATTGTATATGTGTATTATGTTTCTATATGTATTTGTATGTGTGTGTGTGTGGTGCTCGCTTATAAGAATATAACTGGATAAGTCGTGTTCTTGTTGTAGAGCAGTTCATTGTCTAGTAGAGCAGTCAGACAAATTAGCTGTATTGCCTTATCACAAAACAAGATTGTAGTTGCTTTTATAGTAATATTAACATAGTACTGAGGAAACACAGGCTACATTTACTCTTGTTTGAAATTTATCCCATAAAAACATTCTTTTGTAAATAAACCATAGATATCAATAAATTATTATCTTTAGGCATTTTGATTTTCTAAAGGCTTATTTGTATCAATTTTCAATTTTGATCCTTATCTCAGTACATGAATTACATGAATAACCAATAATTTCTAATTGTGTATTTAACCATCTTTGTAAAACTTTTAAGTCAGTGAAAGCATATGTGAAAATAATCTTTAATTGTATTTTCTTTGAAAAATTTTATTGAAATCTTCTTGATTATTAGATTGAATTATGTTAATGGTAAGCAGAACTGCATGACTAATTTGTTTACTTACTTTTTCAGATTTGAAAAATGTGTGAACGCTAAGGAAGCTTTGGAGACTGATCTTTATAAGCGGTTTATTCTGGTGTTGAATGAGAAGAAAACAAAAATCAGAAGTTTGCATAATAAATTATTAAATACAGCTCAAGAACAAGAAAAGGACATCAAACAAGAAGGGTATTTTGGCTATCTAGTTTTTGGATGACAGATGTATAAATTTAAGTGGAATTTCTTCCCAAAGTTAATGAACATTAGGTGCCAACTTTTTGGTCATATGAGATAATTTGGTAGACTGGATGTGGATGCTCAGGCTGTTAGATGGGTGCCATGGGCTAGAGAGTTCTCAGCATGCTCACTCCATGTCTGCTCAACTGTCTCACCTACACTGAAATTAAAAAATTGACATGAGGCTTATTAAAGTATTATTTAATTCTTAGACATTAGTAAGAAATATTAATTTAAAAACCCTTTCATCTGCAGAACTACAAAGTTGGATGCATATTTGTAATCTTGATGTCTAGGCAATAGTTAACTTTTGAATCAAGTTGTTAATATTAAATTCCAGGGAGCATTTATTTTACCTGATTACAGTGTGATTACCAATCTTATTCTTCTTTAACGTTTTCTCTGAGAGTAGACATGTACTTGATTTTTATGGAAGAATCGTAAGTGACAAATGGCTGATATGGGTTTCAACGATTATAACTTTTTTACACATTAACAAATACACGTTAGGGTCGTAAAAGTGCAGAATTACTAGTGACATAGTATAAAAAAATTTGATATCAGCTAGTCCTAGTACAGGTACTGGTCTTGCAGTCATACCTATTAGTGTATAGCTTTGGACACATCACTTTTTTTTCATAATAAAGGTAAAGATACCCATCTTAGGGCTTTGCAGAGATCAAATGAAATAAGGAACTGCTCTGAGATTAGTAAAATGTTAAATACCCTGTGACTCACGGAGATAATTTGGTAGAAAAAAGTATTTTGATAGAAGAATAGTACCTGATAAGAAACTGATTTAATATTAATTATAATGAGTACTAAATTCAGATTAAAATTGGGTAAAAGAGAAACTTGTTCTTAAAAGAGTTAATATATAGGTTTTAAGATGCTTTCATGTAAGTCATATAAATTTTCAATATGTTTGTCTAATTAGAATCTTTTTCCAGAAATATTTTCTATAATTACTTACTGGTAAATTTGCTGCCTAGCAGGGGGTGAGCCAATGATTTATAATTCTACCTGTCTCTGTTTCTAGGGAAACTACAATCTGTTCTGAAATGACTGCTGACCGAGATCCAGTCTATGATGAGAGTACTGATGAGGAAAGTGAAAACCAACCTGATCCCTCTGGGTCGGCTTCAGGTAAGAGATATATAAATTTATCTCCTTTGTTGAATATCTCACTTGGGCTTCTTACTCTAATGACAAGAAACCATAATGGAAAAATGTTGTGAAAAACCTTATTCTATGAAAATTCTTTAGCATTTTTATTTTAAAAACTCAAATTTTTAATGTTAAAACTTAATATTATTTGTAAAATGCAGCAACTCGTTAGCACAGCAATGTGAGCAAGCATTCATACACATATACTCCAAGGTATACTATTCCTGGTTAAATATAACCAGGAAAAGCATAAGTAATGAGGAAGATACACCTTTATGCTAAATATCTTCAGCTTAAAGCTGGTTGCCTTTAAGATTTGAGATTTTATTTAGCTAAAGCCATCGATAGGCCACTGGAACAAAGTAATCAAGAATGCTCTAAATTATACGGAAGCTGAGGCCTTCTTTCACTCTTCAGAAAAAAGGATTACAACAAGTGAAATGTAGTAGAGGAAAAGAGAAGGGGAAAAATGGCAGTTTAGTTTGAAGTACCTATGACTTAGTCCTTTGGATCAAGTTTCCAGCAAGCGTTTAAACCCATGAGTTTTTTTTTAAATATTTTATAGATTTCTTAGTGGCAGTGGAAACAGGAGCCTCTGAACTCATTTTATGCTTAATTTTGACCTAAAGCCAATACTATAAAAATAAATGTTTGATTTATTTATTTAGAAAATATTTTTGAGGTCCTATTATGTACCAGAAACTTTGCTATGCATTAGACAACAAAACACAAAAATCTGTGCCGTTGTGGAGTTTAAATTGTAATCAGGAAAATATATAAGATGAATAAATGTAAAATATGTTAGGTCGATAAGTGCTAAAGAGAAAAATAAACCAGAGAAGGCCAATAGAAAGGTCAGGGTGAGAATAAGGATGAGCGTTGTGATTTTAGCCAGGCTATCAGAAAAGGCCTCAGTGAGAAGGTGAAAGTGACTTGGCTATCTTGGGGAAGAGCATGCCAAACAGAAAACAAAAACAAAAAAACAGTAAGTACAAAGTTCCCGATGCGTTTAAGCAATAGTACAGAGTGTAATCTGGATAAAGTAGAAAGATGAAGACTGGGAGAATTAGGAAATGAGATGAGAGAGATGATAGGACCTCATCATGTGTAGGGTGAGGTAGGCTACCATTAGAACTTCTCTTGTTACTTTGAATTAACTTGGAAACTACTGAAGGATTTTAAACAGTCAAGTGACATAATCTGACTCAAATTTCAACAGGATTAGTCCGTGTGTTGTATTAAGAATAGACTATAGGATGACAAGTGCAGAAGAAGATATAACAGATGGGAAGCTAGTACAACAGTTGGCTGAAAGATGAGACTGGCTTAGACTAGAGTGATGGAGATGAGCAAGGAGCAGATTCTAGGTATGCTTAGAGGCAGCAGGTTTTGCTGAAGAAGGGGTTTTGACTGAGCAAGTAAGACTGAGAGGGAGCATCCAGGAGGTAAGAGGCAAAAATATAAATGTGGTATCCTGCTGATTGATGGATTTAGCAATACAGATGTTATTAAGGATCTTAATAGAACATATTCACTTGGTTGGTGAAGGAAGGAGATAGAAGAGAACAGGAGTTTCAAAGGGAATGGGAGGAGAGAACTGCAGATGAGACAGGCAACACTTTCAACAAATTTCACTGTAAAAAATGGGAAAGACATGGGGCAGCAGCTGGAGGGGGAAGTAGGATAAAGAAAAGTATTTTTGTTTGTTGTTTTTAAATAAAAGAAAGAAAATGTTTGTATACTGATAAGAGTAACTAAAGAGAGCAGGTAAAACCATCAAGGCAGTAGACAGAGGAGAAACTACTGGAAATCTGTCTCTGAAATTATAGGTGGATGGGATCCAAGGGACAAGTAGTAGATTAGTTTAGCCAGGAGCGTAGACACTCCCCTGAATGACAGGAGAAAAGGTAGAATAAATAGACAAAGACACAGGAAAGTATCTAATTGCAGTCACAGAAACTTATTAACATTGATTAAATTGGTTGAATCATCTGATTCTAATCAGATTTGGATTACACAATACACACACAATCATACGTTTGCACGTGGGAATGAAATTTCTTTTCATTTGGCAGCTGTGCTTGTTTTACCCTAGTGTCCCATTTAAAATGAAATTATTATTTAAGAATCAAATATAGAAAAACTCACAAAGATAATTTGAACTCTTTCCAGTTTAAACTTTCAGATTTTTTATTAAATACAATGACCTTTGGTCTTATTTGTTAGTCAGAGTATCTTACCAACATTTGAAGTAGCTGAAGATTATTGATGAGAAAATACATGGTTAAATATGACTACATGAGAAAGAGGACTTTTATGTATTCAGACTATTTTAAGTAAAACTTTAAGCTATAATTGTACTATTTTCAATTTGGCAAAATTCTCCCTTCTCTTTAGAAATGTTTAGTTTATTTTTTTTCTATATTTTCTGTATTTCTGTTTTTTCTATATTTTTCTATATTTTTTCTATATTTTTCTATATTTTACAATATTTTTCTATGTTGTCTTTATTTCTTTAGCCCACGTCTAGTTCACTACACCTATGATCTATAGGTCTCTGTTTCCTTTTTTCTTTTTTTTTGCATTTAACTTGCTTTTGGTAAGTTTTTGATGTCAAGAATTAATAGCATTTTTAATAGAACTTTACCTTTTTCTTCTGCTTCAAAAAGAAATATTTAGGAAACAGATGCTTACTAAAATAGAAAAATAAATCTCAGATCTCAAATGCTTGTTGCTGAACTAAGAACTAGATTTCATAGATCTGAGAAAGAAAATTATAGATGTTAAACAACAAAATGGGCCACCCTATAATTTACCAGTTTCCACAATTAATTCTTCTACAGAGACAAAATATGTTTTTAGTCCATGGGAGATAATTCTGTTGAACACAGCTTTCTCTTTTTGGTACTCTATGTAGTATTACTGTTTTTGAGGCAGAACAGTGAGAATTTCTTCCTTATCTTATTCTACCATCTTGATGATAAATTATTTGCTCTTTGAATACAAATAAATTTGTGAATTTATTTTAGATATTGCAGTTTCCTGTATGCTTTTCCTACAATAAAAACAAGAAAGAGAATCTGATGAGGATTAATACATTTATTCAGACTTTCAGAAAGCTGTCTTTAAGTAGCTGAATATATAATTTGGTGGTTATTTTGTTACAGTAAATGGATTTTTATCATTATTAAAATGCCCAAATTTCCTCTTGAGTTCACATATTACCCAATTTCTTGATGATAAAATAGAGGCTTAGTGAGATCAGGATCATTTAGTGATATGAAGATGAATATGATAATCCGAATCTGAGTACGGTAAATTTGAATTAGATTACACAATAGACATACAATCATACTTTTGTACATGGAAATGAAATTTCTTTTCATTTGGTAGTTATACTTGTTTTACCTTACTGTCCCGCTTAAATGAAATTGTTCTTTAATAATCAAATGTAGGAAAATTCACAAAGATGGCATGATAATTCATTCACAAATATGAAATGGTAAATTCATATTTACCATATTCACTCTAGGGAAAGGTCTGCTTACTTTTATGCATATATACAGAAGTAGAGTAGGGGTAATACAATTTGAAGGAAATTAAGTTACATTTTTATGAATACACAATCAATTTTATTGCTTTTTTTTTCCTTTAAAGTTTCATATTTTTCCCACTGCCCCTAGGATTATTGAGGAAATCACTAATGATAATGTAGATCAGTCTAATAAACCACATCATGCTCATATGTCCTGTACGATATAGCATGAAAAACCTCTAAAATACTCATTTTCTTGGCTAAAAGGAAATCCCCAAAGTATTCTGAAACGTGAGTATCACAGTCAATATCACCCTACACTACATTTTATATTTTTCCATAGCAAGATTTACTTTTATTATGTCTTGGATTTTAGAATTTCCAGATAGATAGTGAATGTATTACTGACTATATTTCTTAAGCTATGACTGCACACTAAGACCCTGGATTTCACTTTGTTTTATATTAAGATTGTGATAAATGAAATAGTTGCTGTAGTCTCTATTTATAGCTCAAGCTTTGGACTGGGGATCACTTTCACCCCTATTAAGTTGGTATTAAGTACTTGTGGCTTTAAGGATTTCCTGCTTAGTCTGGGCTCCCCCTGCCTCCAAAGTGAGTGTCTGTGTGTGTTTGTGTGTGTGTGTGTGTGTGTGTGTGTGTGTGTGTGAATTTAATAGAAACCTATTGGGCTATTATAGGTACTGTGAAACAGTCTTCCCTATAAGAAACTCTCTTTTTCTTTCTGTCTAAATCAAGGAAAAACATGATGTCCCTATCTGAGGAGAAATGTTGTTAAACTATGTCCACTAAATAGCAGAACCTCACCAAAATATGTAGAGATAGAAGCACCATTATGTATAGCCTTAGAGCCAAAACCTGCAACAACACTACATGCAATTGGCCTTTTATTTGCCCCAACAATATCAGGTATAATCTAAGAACAGCTTATCATTGTGCAGTTTTAAAATACTGCTTCACAACCATTTTCATGCTCTAATAACAGAACTGTATGTGAAAACAATTTTAAAATATATATGAATATTCTAAGAATTTTAGCCATTATGAAACATTTCTTAGTCTTAACATAATTCAAAAAGCATGTAAATATTTAGTGGAAAATTTGAATTTATTTTATAGAGATAGGATTTTTCTTGTGAAACATTTTGAAAAGCTATGCTTAATTGGCTCCTAATTAGTTAACTATCATAAGGCTAATTATTTTAATTCCTCATTAATTATTATAATATATAATCACTATTTCAAAATTATAGTTATTTCTATTAATAGAATTGACAATATTTATTACAATAATAGAATAATTAAGTCAGCCTTAATAAAATAGAAATAAGAAATCTGCTTTTCTAGAATGTTTTACTCTTTTCAGCTGCATATTATAGGTGCACAACCATTAAAAACAAATATAATAAACTTTCCTCCCACT